GCGTTTCTTATCTCCATTCCAGGGAGTAAAGATTATGTAGCTTAAGCATGATTGTTCGTAGTTAAAGAGATTAATTACCCGCCTGGCACTTAGTTAAGGGGTTTTATTTCCTCCCTAACTTCAGGGGAAAATCCCTACCTGGGGAAACAACCTTTCTCAGAGAGGGGACCTTGGTTAAAACATAGTGCCAAGAAGGTGAGCAAACATATTAAGAACAGTATGCCATATATGCCAGGTCCCTTGAAACAGCAAGGATGGACCTGCTCCCGGCAGCGCCACCTCTCCCAGCCTGACCCCTATGACTCCCATGACCCCCATGACCCCCATGACCCCAGCTCGGCTTCCCTGGGCCACACAGGCTCCTGACTCGCAGATCCCGTGGCCACTGGTCCTCTGGCCAGGAAGGCAGAAGGGCCTCTGGGCAGCATCTCCCGTTTCCAAGTGAGTTTCACTCAGAAAGGCCTCTAAGAAGTCCGGGGCACCCACCTGCCCTCCCACAGGTCATGCTCTTCCACGGGTGTCACCTGGGCCACTGCCTGCCCTCCTGCTCAGGGTGAGGGCTCACTGTGCCAGCCCAGAGGCCGTGAGCGGGGCCCAAGTGCCCATGGGAGGTGCCTGCCCCTCGCAGGCCCGGCTGCAGCTGCTGGGCCATGGACTCTCGCCTCTGAGGCCCGTGTCCAGGCTCCGCGTGCTCAAGTGGGTCTGCAGCCACGGTCTTGCCTCTCCCGCAGCTGCCCCCCTGGGGGCCCGGCCTGTGGGTGTGGCTCTCGCCACCTTCCTGACTGCGTCCCCCTCAAGGCCTCCGCTGAGGGTGGGACCAGCACCTGAGCAGTTCTTTGCACTGAAACACCCTGAAGAGAGGTGAGGTTTATGTTCTTACTGAGGTGTGTGCGTTGTGCTTTTTCAAGCAATTGGCCCATTTCACCCAGAATGTCAGTGTGAGTGACGCTGTGCACAGGATCCCTGGGAGCCCTGGTGCCCGCAGGCTCTGTAGTAACAGCCCCACTTCCCTTCCCAACCCTGGTAATCAGTGTCTTCTCTCTTTTCCTTTGTCATCTTCTAAAGAGTTTGCTGACATAATCGATGTTTTCAAAGACCCAGCTTTTGTTTGTTCAATTTTCTCGGTTCTGTCTGTGTTTTCAGTTTCACTGGCTTCTGCGCTCTGTTATTTCCTTCCTTGCGCTGGCCTTGGTTTTCTCCTTCCCTTTCCTGTTTCTTGAGGTGGAGCTGGAATTGTAACTGGAGACTTCCTCTTCTCCCACGTGAGCATTTACGGTACACATTTCCCCGTCACTGCTGCTGTCCCTGCATCGCATGGATTTTTATCTATTGTCTATTTATTTGTGTGTATTAATTTACTCACCTCAATTTAACACTTTTTTTTAGGTTTTCAGGACTGGTTCTCACAGGGATTATTTAGAAACATGTTGTTTTCTATGTTGTTTTCTACTTGTCCTATGATTTCTCTATTCCCTTCTTTTTCAACTTCTGCTTTTTATCTTAACTGAGCGTTTTTTGTTTCCATTTCACCCCAGTTATGGACTCATGAGGTAGCTTGTGGCGGGTGATTTATGAGCGGGAAGTTTGTACAGCTGCACCCTGGCCATCCTGAGAAGTCTACGTTGGTCATTTATTTTCCATCAGAATGTTAGCACAACAGGATGCTACTTGGTCGTAATGGTGGGTCCCAGGGTGGCAGCTATTGTCCAACAGGATGTCAGCACAACTGTGGCTCGGTTATTCTGGGTTGTTTGTCCAACTCAGCAGGTGGGATCAGGAAAGTCCCTATTTTTCCAGCTCCAGACCTTACAGTGGGTGTGTTCGTGGCCAGGACCCTGACGTGGAGTGTGATGCCCATCTCTTGTGCTGCAGGTCATCGAAGCGCTCCTTGCCGCCGTGAGGGTAGTCGACATGATTACACTTTGAATGACAGTCGGCATACCAACTGGCATGGCAGCAGGCTCAGCAGTGGGCATACCAGTTGGCGTGGCAGCAGGCGCAGCAGTGGGCATACCAGTTGGCATGGCAGCAGGCATCATCGGAACGGGTGCGGTCATCATGGGCATCCACAGGACCCTGCAGAACTGAGGCGAGCACCAAAAGCGGTGAGGTCAAGGGATCATGTTAGCGGCAGCCAGTTGGTAGGGAGACAACTTGCTTAGCTGCCGGGGTTCTTGTTCCAGCATTAGGAAGGGTTCAGCAACCTGGAGAAGGGCAGTGTTGCCGGAGTCCAACCCCAGCAGGTCCAGGGGTCCTCAAAGGTGTAGACGGAGTCGGCGAAGAAGGAAT